ATAGATTATAAATGATTCCAAATGGTGATTTGCACAGAACACACTGAGCTCTCTCTCTCTTTTTTTTTTTTTTTCTTTTGCTGATACCAACTCCAGCTGAAGGCATAAGATTCTTGTTTCTCACTTTTTCCTTCTATCCTGGATGAACACCAAGGAATTTGAGTGTAGACTGAGTTGACTTTTCCATTTTAGAAGCTGACCTACAGGTGTCATGATACTCACCACCCACCAACATCAGAGTCAGCTGCAGAGGAAGTGCTTATGCAATTGCTGGCACCTCCCTGAAAGTGAGATCCACAGGGAACCCAATCCAGTTCACTCCTCTGGGTTGTCTCCCACTTGGGGTTTCAGGCCAAGGCTCTCAGAGTCTGGATCCCCTGTTTCTCATAATCACCTCTGTGCATTCTCTGTTCTACCTGGACCTGGCTATCTCCCTGCAAAATTATTATCTCTGCCTCTTATGACTTAGCTTCTGGCATTCAACCAACCTGGGATACATTACTCTCAGCACCTGTCAACTATACTCATTCTATAAGGACCAGCTCTATACCCACCCCATCCATGAAATCTGACCAAGCGACCCCATATGCCACTTCTCACCCCCAACACACAAAACCATTCAAAAGTCACTGCCTCATATTGATAACTAATGAAAAGCCCTCTTTAGATTTTCAGTGCCATAACAGCAAGGAACCTGTATTCCATTCCTTTGTAACCCTAAAAAAATGTATGGAATGACAGATTTCATAATAGAACATATTTTCCTAGGTCCATAGAACTCTAAATTGGTTTAGAAATAGGAGAAAAAATTAAAAACTGGTATTAAGGCATCAGAGAAGTCTGTTCCTGAGATCATAGACATTTTTGATTTGGTAGGACTAATTTTAGCCTCTAAATTCTACCCTGACTCACCTTAAAATTTCTATTTCCCCCAAACTTCCCTGGTTCCACTCTAAAACTATAGCCACTAGTTTTGAAAGAAGCAATCCCATTTTCGGAGGCAGATCTTTGCTTGAGAGGGTATTGATTTACACACCAGTTGTTAGGGATAGAATATAATAATAATGGCTAAAATATATATAATCCTACTCTGTGTGGCATACTTGTTTTAAGCATTTTACTTATATTAACTCAGTTGTCCTTATAATAATCATTTAACATAGTCACTACCCATTTTACAATGTTGTAAACTTAGGTTGGTTGCAAATTCCTGTTACTCCTCCCATTGAGAAGTGATATTTATACATCCTTCCCTGAAACTGGAAAAACCCTCTGACTCTTTAAATCAACAGAGTATGGTACAAGTGACATGTGGAGCCAGTTTTCTGGCCCAGGCTATAAAAAACTGGTACCTTCTACTTCCTGTCTCGGGGAGCCCTGAGCCTCCATGAACAGAGGCTCACTCGTCCGCTGGGGAGACCACAAAGATAATCATTGAGACTACATGGAGATGAAAAAGAGCCCAGCTGAGTTCGATCTTTCTAGTTAACCCACCAAGGCACAAGATGTGTAAATAAAGCCAGACCCTCCAGACAAAAGCAGCCACAGAGTGAATTCAGTCAACTCCATGTGGGGCAGGAGAATTGTCTTACCCAACCCTGTCCATATTTCTGACCCACAAAATTACAAGATCTAATGACCCAGTCATTGCTTTAAGCCACCAAATTATGGAGAAGTTTGTTTCATAGCAATAGTTAACTAGAACCTATGCGACTTGTCCAGGGTCACTTAGCTAATATGAGGATGAACTAGGTAGGTTTCAAACCCCCACCTAGTCTGGCTCCAAGTGTATACATTGTATCACTAAGCTATAGCCTTACCACTGAAAAAAGTAAAATAAAATTGTTCAAAGTACCCCAATCATTCTGGAGGAAAATCTTTCCCCAAGCTATGACACTGCCAGTTGTTAAATGACTGACTATAAGGTAGATAATAAGACCTACCTGATTTTTGACTTATTTAATAAATATTTATTGAGCACCTACTAAGTTCCAGATCTTTACTTCAGAATTATCACCCACCCATCTGCTTTCTCAGTACACATATTAACATTGTCTTTAGAGGATCACCTAGAGACGTCCTCCTTAATATAGGATCAACACCTGATGCTTAGGCATGATAGCTATGAGTAATTTAAAATGGTCCAGGTCATTCGTAAGTACTTCTATACGCATATCTGTAACACATTGGAATATCAGAAAGATCAAAGCACCAATTACTTCCAGGAGGCTACACACTGGAAAGCCATATCAACTCAAAAACTACTTGTTCACATCTACACACCTCTTTACAGGTAAGAGCAGCACTGAAACAAAGCACTTTACAGTTTTCCTTTGATCTGAAATCAACACTAACCAAGGTCCACCAGAAAAGAACTCCTTAAAGGATGTTTTCTTAGTTTTTACTTTAAGAATGAACTAGTGGATTTTGGAGTAGCCGGATTTTTATACTTCTGGACTCACATGCTTATTTTGCTTCCCCTATAGGAGTCTCATTTTAGAACAACTTTGCTTTAGCAGTGTTATCAAAGCAAAGAAGGACCGAACAGTGTCACTGGAAAATGTTGTATGTATGATTTCACATATAGATGAAAATGTGAATGATGTGCTTGGTAAATATGAATCTCTATTCTTCCCCACTTATTTCCCCCCATTCTGAAGTATTTCCCCAGAGATCAGAGCTTTATGAATCTTCTTCATCCAAAAATATCACACAGGAATATTAATACTTCTGGACAGACCTTCATCACTCAAAGTCTCCAGAGTCTGGGAATTGTCCTAAACCTTTAGGAGACTCCAGTAGGTGTTGGGTCTCCAAGCCTCACATCAGAATGTGATCTATAGAAGGTACTTGAGACCAGAGTAGATGAGGTTTTGAGTTTTTATTAAGCACAGAGCAGAGTTCTTATGGCTAGTTGGCAAGAACAAAAATGTCCAAAATCCTTGGCACGAAGTTATTTTCTCTAGTTAGTCTTTACAAAGAACATGAGCCTTTTTTTATCCCCAACCCAGTCTAATCAATTCTGCTAGGTTGTTGGCTTTCCTCCAAGAGTATATATTTACACACCCTCAAAACCGAAGCCTGTCAACAGGTTTATATTAATAATTCATTTTTATAGCCTTGGTAGAAGTAAAGACATGTAAATGTAATCCAATTATGACTGTACTCAACAAAAAAGAAACACACACGAAACAGAGGTTGTTGGAAAAGGCCTTCCCAGATGTCCACCACCTCTACAATGGCCACAGGTTGTATAATATTTAGAGTTATAATCACTGGCAAGACTTATCCAGCTTGCACCCTGCTTTTCTCCAGAGTCTCTGACTTCATGGAAAGAGTTTAAGACCTTACCCCGTTTGCTCCCATTTACGTATGTCCTACAGGCGGGAAAGCCAAAAACTGATCATCACTGTGGCTTAGCCCCTGAATCCACATATAACATTCAATTTTCCTGAGGTCAATGAAAATTTGGCCTTACAAAGGACTACAGGGCCAGCCATTCCCAAGAAGAAAAAGCCATTTGCTTTTCTGCTTCCCACAGAGTCAGTGGAATATGTTCTGACAGAAACAAAACAAGTCTGCCAAGATCTGTGCAGACAGAACTATCCTTTCACCAACAATAAACAGATCTGCTCTTGAGCTATAGAGAGTCATAATAGAAATATATATTGCCTTTTATCTTCTTCTCAGCGAGTAGAGCATAGTGTCAGGAGTTATAGCTTTAATATCAGTAGAGAAGAGCTATTTTCTTTTTCTTTCGAGCATGTGTGTAGGTCTGCATGTAACAGGACGTGCAGCTATAAGCGTGCAATGCTAACCAGGTTTTTAGTAGCCTTTCAAAACCACATAAAATTGGCCTGATAACATAATCAGCACATAGAGCTTCAAACTGTTCCTATGGAGTCATGTAAGATGCTGTCATGTTTCTGCTCAAAGAAAAGGGAAAAGGAAGATAACACTTTTATCACTAGTTAACTCACATAAACGTAATTCTGAGAAATAGGAACACCTATGGGGTTTAATTGATTATTGACTTTCAGTTTACAATGTCCACTGTAGTCAATGGAAGGGTGATGTCAAAGACTCAATTGAGCTCCTGGGTAATGTCTTAAAACTAAGACATAGAAGGGACAAGTACTAATCTACTGAATTTTCTACAAACACTAACTAGGCTAGGGGTAATTTCCCCACAAGCAATTGGAACGTCTTATTTTATGCCAGAGCATCTAAGGCTAATAACTCAATTAACCTCCTACCCCCTACTAACTAGATGTATGAAATGCCAAGGGAGTCAGCGGAGTACTAAGATTTAGCTTGGATATAATTACTTTCAAGTGGAAAACAAAAACTTACCACAAAACTAAGGACTTCCTATATAGCCAAGCTCAAACCTTCACATTTTCTAATGTAATTAGCATCTCGGTCAAATATAAAGAAAACAAAATGGACAAAAAAAATCACAAGTAATTAATCAAGACTTGATATCAGACACAAAGATTGCATTTTACAAGAATTAGTTGAACTTCTAGCTTCAATTGCCCTTGATTTAATGGCACCCATTTGGCTCAATAATGAATGATTCGTGTTCTAGCAAAGCCATCTGGAGAATGTGAATAGAATTGAACTAGGATATAGTCTTTCATATGATAACAAATTTTTCTTTTCCCATTTCCCCTTTCTGCTACTTGAAAAGAAAGGGTAATAAAATGAAAAGAGGGAGTATTTCATACTGAATGTGTGGGCCATTGCTCATTTTGAATAACAGCTTTACCATTTCAGTGATAAATATGATAGGAATAATAACCCCTGAGTGCCACAAGCCACAAGACTTATACAACTTCTTTAGCAATGACTTCACCTTTCTCTTCTCCTGGGTCTTATTACTATGAGCATCTGCAAACACAGTAATTCAAACTCTTTGGCTATGTAGCACACTGATTGTGATAGCAACCTCCAAAGATAAAGATGCAGAAGCAATTAATGCTTGGAAGAAGGCTTACCTGAATGCTGGCCGTAGAGCGATTCTTACGGGTTGTGGTGGTAGCCATTGTAGTAGTGGTTTCCATGACAGTGGTAGACATTTCTGGTGGCATGGAGGTCGTCTGTGTTGTTCCCAAAATTGATGGGACTTCTCCCACCAGCCGGACACTTCCATTGATTTTAATATTGGGGTTGTTCTCAGCCGCCATGTTCAGTACTTTCAAACCATCATAATAGAGCCCAGAGAGTTGGCCTTGGAAGAGGCGTCCTTTGTCCTTCCCACCGATGGCTATTTGCGCCTGAGTGTTGAAGATGGTTAACTGCCGGCCTAGTGGGTTGGGTGGGGGAAACATTATTATTCTCATACATTTTCTCTCTTTAACTTACCTGGTCGAAATGGACCAGGTAAGCATAACAGGCTTCCTTGAGCAATTGAAGGGGAGACAAAGTGGATAACAAAAATTCAATACAGACATTGGCAAGTAACATTTCACTATGATTATCTCTTCCACTGTCTAGCTGAGAATCCTACATCACCTAAATAATCAAGTCTCTATTTCTTTATTCCAAGGAAGAAGAAATCTTGATTCAGTGGTGAGAGGTATTGTATTCTTGGGTAGGTAATTGTAGTTGACAGAAAGAAACACCTAAATTAGGCAATGAGCAGAATAAATCATAGATGCCTATTATACTAATTTTAAAGCTACAAAGTGACACAATGAGAACTAAAAAGGGTTATGTATGGCCAACAAAAACTCAATGAGGTGACTCAGAACATTAAATTTAAAACCCATGTCTGATAATTAAATTAAATTAACTGCAATTAAATTCTAGTTAACAGACTTGGATTCATTGTATACTTGTAAAACTGAACATCCTAATCACCAAACACATCATATCCTATAAATCTTCTTAGCGCATAACATTCTATCTATATTTTCTGTTTAACAACATCATGGCAGATAAACTCCTATCTCTATTAATTTTTTTCAGGGGTATAGATACAACTAAATCATTCCCTGAAATACAGAATATAAATAGGTATTGATAATGGTCCTGGCTTAAGGGTGGGAGGGAGATGTCACTTATAATCAATGAACTTTAAAAAGTGAAAGCAACATATAAAACTCCTTAAAATGATACAGAGGTATGTTGATGGGTTGAAGAATATCAGTGGTTCACCTTATTTTGAGTTCCCCTTTTTTTCTGTGGAAAGAAACCTATCAGAATGAAATCATAACAGGATAGAGTTTAGAATAGTGGAACTCAACTAATATTACTCCCAACTGTTTCTGCTTATAAAAGCCTCTTTCAGGTGCTAGATCTTTCCCAGAAAAACTCAAATAGCTTTTTAAAATTCATTGTAATTTATCAAGACATCAACATGCTAAGGCATTCTTTACTGTTATTTCTCCAGATTCATTTGTCCTACTTTTCTATATGAAGGAAAGGTTGGGGGAAAGACTTACAAGTGGAATTAAATATATCCCTTCTGAATTTTCCTTCACTTCAGTTAATGATCAAACAGTGCTCTAGTCATTCTTAATCACCTGAATTATTTTAGCTATAAATAACTGGAAACATTTTTATTTTATTTTTGCTGGCTTAATATAAAAGGGTATATTTTTAACAAACTAAAATTTTTGCTCCTCAATCTCTCTTATGACATAATGTGATGTTTGGGCTCTTAACCTCTACTTCATTATTTATACATGGTCTTCAAGGCTATAGAGTGCTTAGCTATGTTTGAATTTTGGTGCATAATGTGGAAAACCTCCTCGCTTTATAATAACAGAAGAAATGGAAGGGGCAGAGAGGAGAAAATGCATGTGCCTCTAAAGGGCACTCTATAGACAAGAGTCAACTCCTCTCATTGAGCAACTCTCAAAGGCCTACTAGTCAAGAATAATTTATAAATATCTCCTTGGAGGCTTCAAACATTGCAGTATGGTAAATTGGCCAGAGATTTATAATAAAAATGATCTAACCTTTATAAGAAGTCTCTGGAATATGGAAATGGGATCTGCCAGCCTTAATAATAATGGAATTGCTCAGATCTCAAGGATGCAATCAAAATAAATCTAATAGATTTCCATTACTTCCCCACCAATCCCATCAATGTGCTATGTGCATGCATCACTGTCTGTTCTTTGGCCTCTGTCCTTTTGTCACAAGATGCAGCAAAAAGTCCAATGCAGAGTAACACTCAGTAATGGCCTGGAGTTCACACCTCTTTACTGTTTATTTTGGACAATAGCTTTTTCTGGAAGCTCTAAGCTTACTACAAAAGAAATGGAATGATGGAAGGGGAGAATAAATACTCCCTTAATTTCACATAGGTATTTGGGGAAGCTTTACATAATTAATTAGAAGAAGCTGCCTAACAGGAGATTTCTAGGATACGTAAATTCAATATCTTACACTAGATAGCCCTAATGACAAGCGACACCTTTCATGTACATAACTGTTGGCAATCATGATATTTATCCATCTCTTTTGTGTGTGTGTACACAGGTCAGCACTTGTAATAAGTTAATGGTTATATTTCATTACAGGTAGAAAATCTTATATTCTAATTCTTGAATGTGCTTTACAATAATAACCTCTATAATGGCTCTAATGATATTTTTCTGGTAGTTATTCTGCCAACGCTTACAAATAAAAAAGAGGGTCAGAGAAAATTGAAATGCAAAGCAAAATTTCAGTGGCTAGAAATAATGGATTGCCTTCATTCCAGCTGACGTAGTTCACTCCATGAAGTGTTCTTTGCTTGTTCAAGACTGACTCAAGAATCAGGAAAGGCAAAGCTGTGTTTCCTGGGCTAAAAGATTAAGCTGTGTGTCCACTCCTGGTTATCACTGCTTTTGCAGAGAAATCTGACTAATTACTTCCTAAGAAAAAGACAATGGTGGTGTGAGACAGGAAAAGGAGTTGTCTACGTTTTAATTTTCCATTCTTCCATAGGAAGTAGTTGGGTGTTTTTGTTTGTTTGTTTCCTGGACTATTTATGGCTAAATCTGTTTTTTCTTCAGTGTTAAAAACCTCTCCTACCCTTCTGTACCTTGGATTAGATGGTTAATAGCAAAGCTAGCGGTAACTAAAGGAACAGTGGAACACTCTCAGTCTCCTGCCATCCTTTCCTCTAATTAATGCATCTCTCTCAGCTAAGCAACAGTTAGTGAGTAAGTGAGAAAGTCATCACTACCCTCTCCCTGTGAAGAATGTGAGGGACTGGACAAAGTTTCTCTTTTAATCATTTGCCCAAGATTTCTCAAAATCAATGCTAGATCTCTATACACACGCAAATACATATGCATATATTAATATATGTGTATATTCATATCTCAATATGAGAATTGTTCTGTCATCAATAACATAAAATTTGGTTATAACACCAATATGGGACTTATAACAGGTTATTTTTTGTTTTTTTTAGGTGCCCATCCTCTTGGAAGTCATTAATTATTACCTCATTTGGACATCAAGTTCACATACTGCTTAAATTAAATCTTTGCATGTCTCCAGTCAGTGTTGCACAAAGACTAATTAATTAAACCTCAGAATACCCTTGGGTAATAGGCAGTATTATTTCTCCTCTCCTCGGATGGGAAATCTGAGATATAAAGAGGTTAAGTGAATTGTCTAAGGTCAGAAAGTTTGTCAATAGCAGACAGAGCCGGAAAAGAGACTTGGGAATTCTGTGACCCAGCTCTCTTCCCAAATGACAGAAACAACTAGAAAGAGGCATTTTAAGTACTTCTTAATGCACCTATCTAGTCATCCTTCTATCTTTACCCTTTATGTTGATTATCTTTACAAGGTCTTCTGTTATATATTTCCTATTCCTTTTGAAGGGAAAGTTAGTTAGGCAGAGGAAGAGATAAAACAATAGAACAAATAGATGTTACTCAAATTACAAAAAAAAAAAAAACTGATTTAAGTGAAACAAATGTAGACAAGAACCTCACCATTTGTGAATAATTCTTTTCAATATATATGCATAGATAAATATACATGTATTTAATTAAGAAACTAGGATGTCTTCTTCCACCCACCTTCAGCCATCCCCAACCTTCAACTCATGTATTTGAAAGCATCCTTCTATATGGAAGCCAACAGATAAGGATGCTATCATAAGGAAAACTAAAAATCTACTCATAACATCATAATGGCTTACACAAATGAAAATGCCTGGCATGCTATTAAACTTAGACTTCAAAAGGCAATGGAGTAAAATAAAATATTGTTAACATAAAATTGAAAGAAACAAAAAAGTTTTCTCAGGCACATGAGACTCAGACATGCATCTAGTTTTCTTTTCCTGTCTACAAGTGAGGCAATCATTGTCTTTAATGTTAAAGGGACTTTATGAGCTGGTGATTACGAAACAAAATTATTTGCTTTTTAGAGTTAGTCTTAATTTATTTTTAATTAGACCACATACGGTTAAAACAGGGCAAACAGTTAAGACTCCGCAAGGATTTTCCGTGTTTAAAGGTCTGAATGTCTTCACTCCACTTAAAGCTCTATAGTCCTTTCTTTTGTTAAGTTGTGTAGACTAAAAAATATACCTGATTACTCCTTATATATAACTCAATCAAATCTTCAGGAATGTTAAGAGATCGTTTAAGGTGTTGAGACAAAAGTAACTTATATTGGCTTGGGAAAGAACAGAATAAATAGCTTCTTAGAGACAGAGAATTTTCTTCATTGAAAGACAATAGTTTATCTCTTAACAAGGAGAAGCCACACAGAAAATTCTGACATCAGTTATAACCGCTGCCCTCTTTTATTAACAGAGTGGTTGTTTTCTCCAGCGAATCAGAAACTGCTGTTTTGCCTTTCATGAGCTTTTTCCTTTCCAACTCATTATCTTAACCACTTACACTTTTGTTGCATAAAACATCAAATACACAAGGGTATCACACAACCAAAGTGTAATAAGTTTGCTTTTGTTTTGATTTAGTTTCAGTCAGCAGCTAGGATACAATTGATGCCTTATAAAATAATTTTGCCTCTGTAAGGTTTGAATTTAAAGGCAAAATTCATCTTTTTCATTCTTTTGTTTAAGAATAAATATTTACAAAAAAACATCACTCCCCTTATCATATTTGTTTTAAGCAGTTTAAGTTACAAGAGTCGATCTATGATTTGTTGTTGTTGTTGTTAACCATGCTACCGAGAGTAAAGCCAAAACAGCCTCAACATGTAAGTTTAAAAAATACTTTTCAAAATTCTTTAGAAAGCTTTGGTGTAAGAGGTAATTTAAAACAAAATTAACAAATAATGTCATGCAGTGGTTAAATTGCCATAATACATTTCTTTTTTAGAGGTTCCTGGAATTTCTTGTTTGTGGTTGTCACGCTGATAGCAGGCTAGATGTTAGTCCCTTTAACTGTATTTTAATGGCAATGTATTATAGCATGATTTATCAACATATGGCATGTGGAAGCTGACACAAATTATAATGAAAATTAAAACAGTCATTTATGCAGCAGGCGATTATCATTTAAGGAACATTTATTTGCAGGCTTTAAAAATGAGGGTTTAGAATCAAATGATTTTAAAATGAAAGTTTTAACGACGGTTACCTTTTTCCTGCAGCCACTCCTCTACGGGCCGGTTATATTTGAAGGGGATTTTCTGTTTTACCATTTGGAAGCGTTCATTATCAGTGTTGCCTTTAAAGTTTAAAAAACAGCTTAAAAAACAATCTGAAAAGTCAATAAGTCATTAAAAAAAAACATCCTAGGTTTTTGGTTTGTTTTATGAAGATTTTAGAGATAGATATCAATTTAGCTTTAGTGGAGGTGGAGCTGAAGTCACTCTGCCCTTGGTTGATAGATTTAGAGCTCAGGTTAGTCTTAGTTATGCAGTACTCCATCAAGTTTTGGAAATGTAGCTTGGAATAGGAATCAGTAAGAGGTTTGGCCATTTATAGAAATGGGTTTACCTTCACTCGCTCTCCATTTCACCCCAACCACACCTTAATTGGGCCAACTGAGGCGCAAAGACCTCCTGGACCTATGAATAATTCACCTGCCAGATCAGTTTCATAATGTGAGGGGGTCCTCAGCTTCTCAGTCATGAATGATCCACTACCACTCTGCTGTATTTCAGAAGCCCAGGGCCATTGTCCTTCATTATTCTCCTCTTAAGTGCTTACAACTGTTCTGTCTCCTGGCCAAGCAAAGTCAAAGATAATTTAAGCCTTGATGGCCAATGAGACTTATTCCATAAAGGAGACCCTGCCATCTCACCACCGATGTTAAAGAGATAAAGCAGTAGAGATGCATCTTTCTTCACTACCTCTTTCCAGATTTGCTAAAAAGAAGGAAACACAAAGTAAATATCTGGAAATAAAGGTAATTATAAATATAATGACATAGCCTTTGTAGACTTTTGAGCACCTAAGTTTTATTACTACAAAGAGACACTGACTTCGTATGTTTACCTACTCTCTCTCTCTCACTCCCTCTCTTCCTATGAGAGATCCTTCCTGAACAAAGATCCATTCATAAAGCCTGGTAGGGATACTTATTCCAAGCATGAAATATTTAATTAGTTTTGAGGCTCACACATGATGCTTTTAACTGCTAGCATGCCCGCCTCTTCCTTTCGTAACTGCTATTACCACTCCTGGATGGTTACTCTAATTAGGACAGACTTGGAGAGTGGTATTGTAGAGATACACCCCTAATGAATATGCTTCAAATAACAAAATAATGAAGCCATGCTTTGGGAACTGTTCTATCTCATCAACCAACCTCACACTGATCTAGCACAAATTGGTGATGAATTGTAATTCCTTACTTCTGATTCATAGCCCTATGTTGGAACGTATGGAACTCCATTCCAAATTACTGATACTAAAAATGAAGGAAAAATCTCAAAGCAGGTGGCTTGGAAACAATTTACAAAGAAATCTAAAAGCCATCAAGAATATTAGGATTGCATATAGCATCAAATAAAATGAACAGAGGCATGCTATAGCATTTCAATCATAGGTCCATTATTCTAAGAAGCTTATTTATTATTCTTAATATCCAAAAATTAAAACAAACAACAAAAACCCACAAAAGAAAAAAAAAAGAAAGGCAACTACAGATCTACTTTCAACCTATATTATGGGACCATATCTAGCTGGCCTGAACTATAACATATTAACAGGCCAAAAAAATAAAATGTAATACATAGAATAATCAACAGTTTTGGATTATAGTGGATAATTTAAGGTTTTTCTCAAAGTATCATTTCTCAGAGAAAACAAAAGGGATGGGGCAGTCAAGAAGGAAAGCAGAAATGCAACTTAACTTTCTGGTGCCTCCTAAGCTTATTGTGGAAAGAGTTAGTTTTACCTATTAATATTGCTACCAATTAGAGATCATTATAATGTTCCTCCTTGATAAATCTTGCTATAAAATTCTATTAATCCAAAATAAAGTGGAGTAAATTTTCAAATGTTTTCATAAAAAAGGAGCATGTGTTTTTTTGGAAAGAACCTATATGTATAACTCTTAATGCCACCCTACAGGCAACAGATATCACAGAAGGTATTGTTCATCCTCTAAGGTTTTAGCCACAGCAGAATACCATACTGAGAAATAGCAATCAGCTCATGCCAGATTTACCTTGAATATATTCTATCAATATTACTTTGGGTTTTCAGTATCTGGCATTGTTGGCTACAACATTAAATATAGTAATGACCTTCATTCTACTCACTGTGGAATAGATTAGTGAAGTCAATAGCAAATATCAGGCTAAGTTTCTTAGTAAAATGCAGGGCAAAATCAGAAGTAACTCAAATTACAAATTGCTGGAGTTCAATATGTACCAAATTAATTAATTAAGGAGTTGTATTAATTTACTTCCTTTAAATACATAGGGCTCTTGGTCCTCCTAAGCATCTCCACCCCCACCATCCACTCTCTTTTAAACATGAAGCACAATGGAAAATTATTTTGGGACATAATATAGGCTAGAAAAAGAGATAACAACATTGAATAAGAAATAATTGATATGGAAGGGAGGACAGCATAGCCATGATTCAACCTTAGATCTTTTTGAAAGTGACAGAGAGTCATTCTTCTCCACCTCAGCTTTAAAGATGTTTAGAAAAAAGTTTTAAGTTGTCCACACCAGATTGACAGTATCTGGCACTAAGGATAGTGATCTTTCATAGTGTTAAAAGTTGTGAAAGATGGAAGGTCATCTGGAAAACCAAATTGATTTAAATTCCACATTAACATTGTTCTTAGTCTCTTTTCATGTTCTTGTTGGTTTTTATTTTAATTTATCTCAAACATTAGTAAGAACTGTTATGTTAATAGAAACATGTGCATGAGAATGAGTTCATTTGCCCCAGCCCCATTTGCTAAACTGATTGAAGAGCAAACACAGGACTATTCTGACAGCTGAACAAACCTCACCAAATTCATATACACTCTTGTCAAATTCTTAGTGACATTCAGTTGTACATTTCATATAGCAATGAGCATGTGAGTTTAAACAAAGAGTGAAATCACTTCTTCAACAGAAAGTGATGCTATACCCAGGAAAGAATGGCCTTATGAATAGTACCTTCATAATGCCATTGAAAGGAGGCATGTGCCTATTACTAATTAGGAAAAAAAATGTAATGACTGCAGTTCTTAATCACACTGAGAAATCTATTAATTGTACAAAAAATCTTCAAGTAAACAGTTCTTAAATTACTTCTATGGATCTGATATTCACCTATATGGGACTGAATTTTAGAAAAAAGTATTAGTCACATTTTATTTTACTTAAAATAAGTGTGTGTGTTCATTCCTATCTATTTTTAATAAGAAATTGAGGTCATTATATAATTGGTCACTCATGGTCATTTTCATTTGGACTACTATCAAGAATTTCAACTCCTGGAGACATGTATAACATGCACATGAACTGTTGAATTGTAATATTGTGAAGAACAGAATACTCTCAGGTGAAATTATTAAGGCCCAACTGGTTCATACCCATAGCTCCAACCTTTATATGTCAACCTCACATCTCCTACATTTGGGTGAATCCATTTAGAAGAAAAGAAACAAGGAAGAGAAGAAAATAAGACAAGGAAAGCAAACTGACCCCAACTCTTCAATAGGTCCCCAATATATACCAGTCCCTCTTTAAGGTGAGGACTTGAAATCTGTTAACAGTCCCAAAGGAGTAAAAATTCTTCCAGCTGAAAATGTGTAGAGAGAACTCTTGTATAACACAGAAAATAACTTTTATACTATTCTTATAATTTATTGGTCCAAACATAGGTCCTATTCATTAGAGGTTATATTCATTTTCTTAAAGCCAAAATCAATACAGTCCAGGAGTTAAGGCTGTGGGCTTTGGAGACAGTTCTGACTTTGAGTTCCAACTTTACCATTTTTAGCTGTGCGACCTTGGGCAAGTCACTTAGCCTCAGTCCATTTCCCAATTCACCACAGGGCTTGGTATGGAATGATAGGAAGCAGAAGTATATACAGAATCTGGGATATGAAAAACAATTTATGTAAACTATTATTATTAACATGATTCAACTCTTTCCTAATGATCAACAGGAAGCACATTGGTTCCATGGTATGCTTCCATTGTCTCACAACCTTACCAGGCCTTCATTCAAAAGATGACCATATCCTATTTGGTCCCACAGAAGTTATCTTGTGAAGATCAACTGACCATAGAACATGTAGCATCCTAAATATCCCCTAAATCTCCTAGCTATTGCTTTTTATTTTTCTGTATCTTCTAAAATATACTCAGCTAACCCCATTTCCAAAACAAAGTGGGTTTCTAAAGCCACTGAAAGTAAAAGAGCAATCCAGGCATTGAAAAATGTGATTTTCTTGGTCCAGCCACAGGTAATGATGATATACTGCTGCTAAGTTAAGGAAGAGTGGCTTAAAGGGTCTAGCAATTTGCACCAGGCTGGCAGAAAGCACTTTCTTGTAGGTAGACTATTAATACCATCTGAAATGTTGTCAAGCACGTGGATGTGCTAACAGGAGTATTGTTACAACATTCATCTGTGCAAAATTAATGCCAGAGGTATTTTTGCATTTTGTTTTGAGCTCTGAAATAAAGGAAGGAAAAGTTTTTTTTATTGCTTTGTTGACACTAAAAAAAAATCAGACTGTGGGTTTAATAACAGTCAAAGAATAAATGCTATGTAATAGAGCCAGAGGCAAAAGAAAATCGATGCAGTAGTGCTGCTGCCTTCAAGTAGCAGGGCAGTTCAGAGGTTCTTGCCACATGTCTGTCCCCAAAGAACACTTTCTGGAAAATATATGACACTAAAGAAAAGGTACTGGGGAAACCCTGAGCTTGGCTCTAGTACATTTCTGGCATTGCCTCAGATCAACTCCTTTAGAATCAAAGAGGGAGGTGTTGTGCTACCCAGAGGGCATCTAGAATGTTTGGCCACTTGTAATTGATAGATGAACCTCAGAAAAGAACTAATATCTTGTATTTATGAAGTGCCTTTGACCAAGGAGCTCAAAATGCAATTATAAGCATCATCTCATTAATCCTTACAACACACCTTGGGGCTGAAGAAAAAAGAACTATTTATACGTTGTGAGCCTTGATCCTTTAGTGTGCCAAGGTAAAGAAATTAATCTCTTGGAACAGAAAACTGATCGGCTGGGTGAAGTGAATTAAT